TGCCTCGGTCACCGAGGTTGTTCTGCCGCTGCGCGTACGCTAAAGGCAGCAGCTGTAACGCAGAGCTTGCTATAACTTGAGATTTAAAAATAATAATAGTAAATCGCGTTTGCCGTTCTGTTTCAGATAAAAGTTTCTGCACTGTACGATTGCAGCTGCCCTTAAGCCCGGTGCACGGTCCACGCATGAACTTTGCTCCTTGACGCTCCCGGCTGAAAGCTTTTACCCTCCTCAGTGGCAAAGGGGGCGTCCTGTCACCCAGGCCCTTCTGCACCAGCGGGGAGAGCGCTGTGCTTTCCCGTCTCTCCCCAGATATTCCTCCTGGGTTAGCCGCCTCACACCAAAAGGAGCCGTTTTGCACCTGTCATCTAGATGGTTAGCGGAGGCAGGGAGCATAAAAAGATTTGAACGTTGTGAGCTAGAACTGAAATCCAAAATGTTAATGCCAGAATCGCCGATACCCTGAGCTGAGAGGATGGCTACTACGGAAGAATGGCAGTAGACCTGCGCGCCTAGAGCTGCATCGGTTTGCCATAGCTAACTCTGATTTTCAGAAGGATTATTTGAGAATGGATTAGAAATTTCAGCAACGCTGACTCATAGTATTATACAAGGCACCTTTTCAAGATGCAAGAGTATCCTCTCTTAGTTTCAAGCCACAATTTAAAAAAAAAAAAAAAAGCAATGCCATGGAAACAAACCTAAAATTGTTTTAAAGGACTGGGAATCTTAAGTTACTACTAGTTGTCCATGAAGTCTTTTTTAACGTTTCTATGTTCAGATGCAGGTCGGTAAGTGACAGAAAACCGCTACAGCCCTCAAGGAAAGAGATAACAGGCACATTTCTAGTAGCCGGACCATGATACGCTGTGGTCCATCATCTCCTTTCGTGTTTCCTAGGCTTTCCACTGGAAGAGTAAAACCACGAATGGCTGTGGTGACATGAAGCTAAAGTGACCTGGAAAACCGTGAAAAACCCTTTGCTGCAGGTGAGGGGAAGTCTGTCATTGCACCTGCTCGTTCGGGGAGTTGTTTGGGGTTTTTTTCACCTCCATGATAATAAACAGATTTCTGTTTCCAGAGCTGTCAACTGAGGACAATAGAGTTTTATCAACTCTATTGATAAAAGCACTATTAAAAAAAAAAATCTTGTAGAGTTGTTTACCAAAAAGATAAGCCAAGCCACATGGCCTCAAACTATGAAGAACAGAAACATTCATGCCAACAGGAAATTACCTGCTGCTTATTTAAAAGCAGTCTTGGGTAAAGAGGGCCTATTCTGGCAAGTCCTTCATTACACAGTACTGCCACTGAAGTAAGTGGTGTTGCATTGCAGAGAAATAGGATGGTCTGTTTTAATTATAAAACCCTAGCAGCATAAGGCTAGATTTAAGAAAGTTTAGCATACAGCTGTTTCATAATATGGCCCTTAAGGCAAAAAATAAAATTCTTAATTTCTAATAAAAAACCCCTTGAACTATGATCTTGCTAAAATCCTTTCTGTTTGAGTGCAAGGAACTCAGGCTGGGATTACAAGAGGGTTTGTAAAGTAACTTTCTTGACTGAAGTGATTACATTCAAATTTTGGGTTTTGTTGTTTTTTTTTTTTCTTTCTCCAGATTGCTCCCTTGGATGGATGGACGTGCAAGTCCGGGACCTCTAGGGTTTCAATGAGTTCCTTGTTGAAGAACAAGGAGATAATTTTTGTCCTTTTTAGGACAAAAGGAGCAGAATTTATAGAAAGGAGCAGAATTAAGTCCCCAAATAAAGAGGGTCCTGAGGGAGATGTCCGAAAAGCCGCAACCCATCTTTTGGTTGCCTTATATTGCTGTGACAGCTCCAGACACCTGGCTGCCTTGAAAGTGCACAGTAGTGGTGAGGAGACCATAGCAGGACACAATAAACATGTCCAGAAAGCTGCAGGAAAAAAAAATATATATAAATTTTGTTTGGGAAATACCATGAGCGCTCTCTAAATAATTTAACAGTACACACGCATTCAGCAATTAGCCACACAGCCTTGCTGTCCTACCTGGGAGAATTAACTTCAAAAACTTTCCCAGGTGTTTGTTACTGTTGCTATTTTTCTTTACACAAAGGTTACAATTGAACATTGCAGACTCTGAAGTTCTGCCTAGCTGACAACAAATTGCCACCACCCGGAAAGTTCAGCCAAGCCAGTTGCAAAACATCTCCATTAGAGAGGAGAAAAGTTTTCTCCTGCTGACCTCTGGGAGATGATGTGCAGCTGGGCAAGTCCTTTGCCTCTGCAAAACTCCTGGAGTGAAGCAGCAGGAGCCTTTTTCTCGGGCACCGCACAAACTCATCGCTCTCTCCTGCACCGCACCACAACATCACGTTTCATAGGACTCCCTCCATTGTGTAATTCTTACCAGCAGCAACAGTTTTCCCACAGTTTCTTTTACTTGGAGGAAGCTAATTCAGTTTTGCTCAGTTTTCCCAGGGCCAATCTTTTCTGTGCCAATGATCAAGATTTTAGAAACTACTAGAGTCCAAAAAACAAAGAATTAGGACCAATCATTGTGTGTCCCCTTTAGTTTGTCCTGAGCAGCAACCGAGCGACAAGTTTTAGTTTGCTCTGCAAAAGACTTGACCAATTTTATCATATTCCCAAGTAGCCTAACGTCACCTTTCACAAGATCTGTAGCATTATTTACCACTGAATGCTTTCATACATCCCTTAAGGTGACATGGGAGAAAGGAACATGCTTGGGATAGCAAAAAGCCATAATGACAAAGTCCACTGAAAGTGGACACCAACAGGACATGTCACATTAGCTTCAGGAGACCAGGAAAGATTATGCTTTGTGGCCTAAAAGTCATGAGAACAGCCTCATATGTACTCCACAAATCACTCTTTCATTTATTCTTCCCCACACCAAAAGAGACTTAAGAAAATTTAAACACACATGCAAAATGGCATTTTGCTATAAATGGAAAGAGGTTGTCAAGACCCCCCCCCCCACCTAAATCATAGTTTCAACTCAGACTAGCTCAACTTCCACTATACTTTTCTCTCATTCTTCCATTTTCATTATTTTCTTACAAAAGGGACATAAAGTATCATTACAAACACACAAGAACAACAACAAAAGGGTGTTTATCAGTATTGCAGAGAGAAGGTCAGTTTGCATGTGTTAATACACTGGAAACGTTCTGCTTTTGCATAATACTGGGGAGTTTCTATCAACAGCTCATATTCTCCAAGTGCTGGCCAAAACGATTACTTCTCCAGTTCTGTGGGGGGGAAGAAATCCACTAAAACATGAATATTCAATAGATTACTGGCATAGCAATCCTTTAGATAAAAGCTCTGCTCCTTAAAATACAACAAACACTAGCTGCTGGTTACAAAAAGAAATAGAAATATAAAAATGGTTTTGGAGGTTCTTTCATCCCAACCACTTTAAAAGTATATTGTGGTAGTAAAATGCCATTAAGCATATGGGGCAGATTCTCTTTGTGACCTTGGTATCTTTTCCGCTCAGTAGAAAAATCTAGTTTCAGACTACTTAGTGCAGAGCCGGTCGGCACTGTGCGTTTTCCAAGGGCACAGAGCAAAGCCATCCTGCCCTCGGCGCTCAGTCCTAGCCCTCTCTGACCCGCTCCCAGAGCGTGGGAGAGAGCCGGCATGTTGCCATGGGTGCTCAGCACCTAGCAGCAGAAGTCAAAACTTCTGCACTTCCCGCAGCATAACATCAGCGTAAGAAAGCGGACGTTTGGGTCTTCTTGCAAGGAATTCACTAGATATGCATAATTAGCCTTTCTGTGACTTGGAATTGCCATGTGAAAGCCAGGATCTGCAAGAAGAAAAACACAAGGATTCAGTTTAAAGCAGTGAGATTTCTCCTCAAAATCTTAAGTTCTGGCTGGAGCACTAGCTCAGTGCCGTCGGGTTCCTCTTTCTCTTTTTGGGCTTCAGGTGGTGCTCAGGAGTTGCCAGGCTTTCTTTTTTTCTCTTTGGCTTTTGAGAATTCCTGATTATCTCGCTTTATTTTTGTTTCTCTCATGTCTGAAACCACCCGAGAGTCCTCCTCCATCAGGTCAGGCAAATTCAAACCTCCCTGTTGTCTGCAGAGTCTTTGCATTTCATACTGGTGTTTTCCTCACCCAGGAACCTGCTCCGAAATGCTTAAGGCTTCTGCGAGATGTGCGCAGTGGGCACTCAGCTGCTTGCAAAAAATTCACAAACTGTAGGTCCAAAGTGACTTGGAGTACAAGGACTTTTGGCCACGTAGACCCATAATCCATATAATGCATTTGGAATATGCAGCAGTGCTGGCTTTGCAAGGGTCACTAAATTCATTACATTACTCAGGATCCTTAGTTTATTGATCATGTGAGGCTCAATCTTGTGAAAGGAGTAAGCACTTGCAAGAACAGGTTTTATTTTAGAAGCTGATGTATAAGCTGATTGTACATTGCCTGCTTTTTCTAGACTCGTTTGCGACAGTAATTTAAGCACGTATTTAACATCAAGGAGCAAATCTCTATTTCCAGCCTTGAAGCTTTCCTCCGCTACGGGAACAGCCAATCCACAGAAGTAACTTTCTCTTCAGTTTAATCTTCAAAGTTTGGAAACATATTTAATTCTACGTTACAATTACGCCGTTCATATTTCATGAATTTTTAAGTTCAGGCTGCGATTACAGACAGCACAAATTGACACAACAGTGAAATGGAATGAAAAACAAGCAACATACTGTGCTTTTAACTTAGAAGATTGCATTATAGTTCCTTCAAGGACACTAAGAAGAGATCTCTGCAACTGCTATCAATAAGTATCTTTCACAATCAGCACTTCTAAAGTTTCTAGAATGGCTTAAAGCCTTGATTCAGTTTAGAAATGAGAGAATGCAAAAAAGCAAGAGCATAGCTTAAAGCTTAACTATTCTTTCATTTTGCTGCTTTGCATTTCAGTATTCAGCTTGAGGACCAGAATTCTTCGATCACTTTCCTGTTAGAGCTAGCCGCAAATTTTTCAGCTAGACTTTTTCTTTGAGGATGCTTGTGTTAAACCCGAAGTTCTTCACTGGAAAAATGTCACTTTTGATGACCTTTCCCATTTCAAAATTATGTTTGGGGGGAAAAAAAACACAGTGTTTTTATACCCTCTAATTCTTCTAAATGGAAAGTTTTTATTTTTTCAAATTGAAAGAGTTTTTCAAAGTTACTGAAAAGTCAAAATTGGAATAAAATGTTTCCGTCATCCAGTGAAATATATGAGATTCTTTCTCAGAAAACAGGGGAAGGAAGGAGCGTGCATTTATTACCATTTTGACAACTGAAAAAGAGAAGAAAATATTTTTTAAATATTGACTTCTTGTGTGACCAGAAAAAAAAATTTCCTGCTTATTTCTCTGTATTATGCAAGATACCTATGTGGACCGTACTATTACAGCACCTATTCATCTCATAGTCCTTCAGAAAATCTCATTTAAGCTGGGGAATACTATTATGTCTTCATGTTACCCATGCACACCAAAGGATGCCTAAACTTCTTTGAAAAAGGAGCTCTAAATTCCCAGGGAAATCACCAGATGACAAGAATGACCTGGGCATCAGACATCAATCTGAAGTGAAGGCTAACACACATAACTGACAGACCTTTCATCAGAAAACTCTCTCAGCAGTGTTGTATGTCTATGCCAATGGAAAGCAGGGGAATCCAAAAACCTCATTAAAGCCAATTTGTAATATACCTCTGTCCCCATTAAGATTAACATTGAAGTTTCCTTTCATCTGCCTTTCAGAAGTTAAGTTCTGACAGTGCAAAGGAGATGTAGATAAGACGACAGCCTGCCTGGATATAATCAAAACTTTCCAGGCTTAATTTTCTCCCTAGGAGCCTCATCCTGCTTCCTCAAGAAGTTTGGCCTCTGTTAAAACAGACTGGATCCTAGCAGTGGAGGAGCCCTTCTCTGGTGCCCGTTAAGCTTGGCTCTGCAGACTTCCTAGATGCTACAGCTCATGCTCAAGATTTATTTATCATCCTCTCCCTTATATTAAGTACTCGACTTATGGTCGAGGAAAAGATCCAAAGCCTTTTCTGAACCCATGGACCTCTCAGCATGCAAGACTCATCGCTCTCCCCTACACTCCAGAGGGCAAGAGAAGTGCTGGGAGTCCCCCAGAGCTGGACAGAGGGCAGCAGCAAGGAGTCGCAGAGGCTGCACTGCAGATGGATCACTCCAGTCTCAGCCGTGGTGCAGACACAGACATCAAAGGAAAACTGACACCTAGTTTTCTTTCCTTATCTAATACAGCTTTCCATTCATTGACGTCAACAATGCAAAGATTGTCGTCTTAAAGAAAACAACAACAAAATCCGAATTACTGTGAATTTTTAAAGCTAGTGTGCATGAATACATGCTTGTACAAGCCTTCTTAATGTGAATACTTTATAGATAATTAAGATATCTCTTGCATTTCATTTGTGCTTAAACTATGCTACAATTATGCTAGGGCAGCTTTTATCCTGCTGTGATTATGAATGGTGGTTGACCATCTGGAAGTAATATACTATTTTAACCGAAAATTTTAAACTGCCCAATAAAGAGATACCACAAATTGTAATGACTACTTAATAGATGCCAGTGTACTGCATGATACTAATTTAATCTCATTGGTAGCTATGAATATCCTCGTTACAGAATTTAAAGATGCTTCTCATAAAAATTTCAAGAGGTCTACATCCCAGCAAAAATTACTTCAAAGCAGTCTTAACATTTAGAAACATAAGTAGGTCAAGAAACAGAAATATATGTTTACACTTTGAATTAAACAACTGAATTCCCACTTGTCATGTAGCCTTTTGTTTTGTTATGGAGGAATCTGTATATTAACTGGGTTTTCAGAAAAAAAGAAAAAAAATAACAAGTGCATGTCTCTGCAGTACCTCCTGGAAAAGTACAAGGTGCCACGTTTCCTCATGGGGTTCAGTGAAGGGTAGCAGGTAGTACAAGAACCAAACTGGATTTTATTCCCAATCTGCGACTGATTCATTAGGTGTCCCTTGGGCAAGCTGCCTGGAGCTGAATTTCCTGGATAGTCACAGACCAGGTTTTCAGGCATTCAACTAAGGCTAGATTTTCAAAGGAGCTCCACCCTTAGCATAAATCCCAACGTGCTAAGCAGTTCTGAAAAGCCAGTGCCTAAGTGAAATGGAAGATCTCTGGTATATCTGTCCTCCTGCACAAACAGTTCAGGCACTTGCATTCGCTCTGCCGCTGCCGCCTTCCTATTTTCAAGCAACCCTGCCAAGCACACTGAAATCTTTTGCTCGGTAACGCTCCCTAAATATTCCCAGTCACTGGCCTTGGGTGGTTAGTCTGTGAGGTATGGCCAGCAGAAGTGCAGAACCCAGCATGGAGGTTCCTTCCAACAGCTCTTCTCAGGCAGGTGTCTCCTTTTTATCCCAATTGTTCTCAGCTGGGAAGTCATTCAGGGCAAACTGCTGTCTCCTCCTCTTGTTTTATGTCTATGTGAAGCTACTCAGAGTTTCAGGGCAATACATGCCAGAGGACTGGCTTGTTGAAATCTCCTTGTATCGTGCTTTCTAGCTGCAAGAACATGGGAGGCGGGCAGCTAGGTACAGCCTGGCCAGCTCAGCTCAGGCTGGTCATGCAGCAAAGGCGCTTGGAAAGAAAAGTGGATTCCAAGGCTGACTAAAATCTATAACTTGTTCCATCAAATGAAAACTGATGCCCAAAACAGGCTTCAATTTTCTCTCCAGTTGTGCACGCAGGATTCGAGCAGTTACCTGTCTTCTCTGTCCAGAGCAGGCAGGGTGGGCTGAGGAAGCACAGACCATCCACCCTGCACTGAGATGATGCGCCAACCGCTGCTTGGGATCAGATGCGAACGTCTCCACGGGGTAGGTAGTGTCTGCTAAAAAATAGTTGCCGTGCTTTCTGTCAGCTGATGCTTCATGAGTACAAACTGCCTTATTTCCCCACATGGTCCAAATAGTTATCCAGTTACCCTGAAGCAATTGTTTTTAGCTTTGAAGACTGCTGCTTTTATTTCAGAAGAATGGCCAGAAAGATTTTCTATTTTCTTCCCAACAATACCAATTGTTTTGGTTGAAAGATATGACATATTTAAGGAAGCAGAGAGAATTATGTACTAGACCCTGCCTCTGAAACATATCCCCAAAGGAAAGCACACCATCTACGAGTCTGGCCATCGCAGACAGAAGTATTTTTAAAGGAGGAGTTCTTCCTGTGCTAAGCCCAGGCACGTCTCCCTGTTGGTTTACGCTATCATAGCATCTGAGTGTTTCCCCATTTTCTCCATGGGGAAAGAGAGATAAAGCATACAGAGAATGAGGGACCACTCAAAGTCACATCCAGAGTCTGCGGCGGAGCAAAGACACAAACGCAGTGTTGTCAGTCCCAAGCAAGCACCCTCACCACAGAAGTGATCTGCCTTTTTCTTGCCCTACATTAACCATCCACGTGGAGAACTGAAGAAGAGCAATGAACGCAGTCAGAAGGTCTTGCTTTCGTGCTGCCTTAAAAAGCATGCTAAGTGAGAATCAGTGAAGGTGACCTGCTGACGGTCACACTCTCAGCGGTACTGCTACCTTGTGCACACTCAAAGTTTCCTGCCTTACCAGTGATTCAGGCCCAGGGAGGAGTTACGTCATTCTTGCTGTTAATTATATTAAGTTCTGTACACCTCTAGTAAACTAGTTTTGCATTGCTTAAGAGCTTTTGGCTTGGCTGCTTCCTTATTCACTGTACATCTTACAGTCATTATTCCTCACTGGCTAACAGTGCACTTGAAAGAACAGGGGGCCATCAGATGGAGACATTGCCGTGCTTTGTTTTCTTCTTTCCTTAACTGCTTTTTTAGCATTTTAAAGCACAGTGCCCTCGTGAAAGCTTGTAACATTCCTCATAAAGTTTACTGTGTCACAGGATTATAGAATACCGCTTTGAACTATGGATAAACAGCTAATCTTGGATCTGTCACCAGAAGCACTAATATATTTCAAAAAGCTATTAGCCCTTAAACCAAAAGCAACACAGAATTTGATTTGGGGCAACAGGCTATAAAACACCAAAATTGTTTGGCAACTTCATGCAGAAAACCAGTGGAAAAAGTTGCAAGAGCTCTGATATATATTTTCTTCTGCTATTTAAAGTGTATTTTACAGAGTTTCCAAAATCTGTGTATGAAAGCTAGCATTAAGTAAATTTGAAAATTTGTTGAACAACTTTTTCAGGAAGCAGAATACCTTTTGTTGTGTTACGTGAGAAAGCAGGGGAAGGTAGTAAACATTATATACAAAAAATAGCAAGCTACAAATAGCCTTTGCATTTTTATAAGGCATCATATCTTTAAGGAGCTTTAGAACCATCAGCCTTGGCCATAAACTCCAGATATGAGCAACATCCATTTTGCGGATAGAAACACTAAAGCACACCTATTAATTCTAGAGGCCCCAGCCGTTTCCAAAGGGCTTTGTGATGGGAACGGCCAGGCCAGCAAGGGATGTCGTGGCAGGGAGGAGAGAGTGTTCGGGGACTGCAAGGCAGAAATACGACTCGAGATGCTGCTGTGCAAAGCCAAAGTCTTAACTTGTTTCTTACCTGGCCTCCGCAATAGGCTGGTCTTGCCTCTTCCTCTTGCCAGTGGACGCAGCTTACGAAACAGAAGAGGAAGGAGGAAGAGGGTGAATTTTCTGGGAACCATGATACGGAGACACCCAGTAGATGGAAAAATGATTCAGGTGAGGGATGCAAGAGTTACCTCCTCACAGGGTGAGGACGCCTCTTATCGAATATCTCACGTGAGATCGTCCTTCAGTTTCAGGGAAGCTCCTCAAAACCTCTGAGGTCCAGAAAACGCAAGCAGAAAGTGAGGCGAGTTTCTGGCTTCAGCTACGCGCTCGAATCCCCCGTTAGAGACAGTAGGGCTGGAAACCTGAAGGTCTGATGAAACCAAGCGGTAGACCCAACCCAGCATGGGTTTACTTGTGGCCTGGACAGCGTCTGTGCGTTTTCTGCAAAAGAGATAACGCTCACGGAAAAAAATACTTTCAGTATTTCTCTGGGAAATAACCTCATATGCGCAACAATTTTCTTTTTTCCCTGAAAAAATTGTGCTCATCTCTCAGAGCCGTATAAAGCGGGGAGGTGTCGGAGCAATTACCCAGAGCATTGCTGCTCTTGTGTCTCTGCATCTGCGAGTGTTGGGGCACAAAACTTATCCGCATAGTGGTGCGCCTCTGATTTTTACCAGAGGCTTTAGCTTTTGCTTTAAATCAATTAGACGTATAGATAGATACGAGGAGTAGATGACTTCTAAAATTTTGTCAGGAACAGGTTTCAGTGAGAAAAAAAATTATGCCTTCAGCATCCCTGCATTCAACAGGAGTGTAAGCAGGATGGAGCTGACTCATTCTGATGGTGCTGTCACCCG